AGGAGAAACAGGGCTTTAATTTATCATTAACTATTCATATATGGAACATAATTTATTATGAATAAAATTTTAAAAAATGTGAGAAAATAAGATTTTCTTTAAAAAATTTGTATTTCCGTTTGACATTTTAGCTGTTAATGTCATAATACTGTTAGGTTTTACTGCAAAAAAATGCACACATTTGTAATCAGCAATGTCTCAAAAGTACAACAGTACCCCCCCATTAATAGGTTTTATGGTATTTTCGAAAGTTACAGGGTCAAATATAGCACATTACATTTTCAAAGTGAAATTTGCCAGATTAGTAATGTTACCTTTGAGAAAGTAGACAACCCAAGGTATTGAAAGTGGGGTATGTTTAGTCTTTTTTAGTAGCCACTCAGTCACAAACACTGGCCAAAGTTAGCGTTCATATTTGTTTTTGTGTGAAAAAAGCAAAAAAACTAATATTTGGCCAGTGTTTGTGACTAAGTGGCTACTAAGAATGACTGGACATACCTCACTTTCAATACCTTGGGTTGTCTACTTTTGCAAATGGTATGCCATCATGGGGGTAATTCTCATTCCTGGGCTACCATACGCTCTCAAAGGCAACATAACCAATCTGGCAAATTTCAATGTCAAAAAAATAAAATGCAAGCCTTATATGTGACTCTCTAACTTTCCAAAACACCATAAAACCTGTACATGGGGGGTACTGTTATTCTCGGGAGACTTCACTAAACACAAATATTAGTGTTTTAAAAGAGTAAAACATATTACAACAATTATATAGTCCATAAAAGTGCCGTGCGTTTGTAAAAAATGCAAAAAACTTCACTTTGACTTAAAATATCATCGTTGTAATATAATTTATCATTTTGAAACACTAATATTTGAGTTCAGCGAAGTCTCCCAAGTAAAACAGCACCCCCTATGTACAGGTTTTATGGTGTCTTGGAGAGTTAAAGGGTCAAATATAGTGCTTGCGAATTAAATTCTCTGCACTTTCTCCCTCTGTTGTCAGGCATGTCAATCAAATTTTAATTAATCAAATCACATAATGATTATGTTAAAAGATTACTTAAATATACACGTAGAATTTTAATATATATGCATTTATAGGTATTTAAATTCTACGTGTATACTAATGTAATCTTTTATGTAATTATTTGTATTTATCTATATATATATTTGCGGTTATTTGTATTTTATATATAGATAGATATATATAGAGAATGTCATTCTAAGTGTATTTTGTTAAGAATATATGTATATTAATAACCAAATACAGTTAGAATGAAATTACATATGAATATATAATTTATATTCAATTTTGTTTCAATATTTTATTTATTTATTTTATTATTTTATTTATTTATTATTGTAATTATAAGTATATATATATATAATATATGTGTATATATCTATTGTATATATATAATATATATACATATTATATATATGTGACGTCATTCTAAGTGTATTTTAATACTAATATATGTACTTAATATTTTAATATTTTAATATTAATATTAAAATACACTTTGTATGACGTTACATATATATAATATGTATATATAGTATATATATAATAGATATACATATATTATATATATAAAAATACATTTATTTTCATTTTACACATGTTTAATTCTTTTTTTTTACTTTCCCACCAGCTGTCTGATATTTCAGCCCTCCAGAAGAGGATCACGGTGGACGTTAGTCCACCGGACCTCCATGTGCTGCAAGCCGTTACGGTGTTCTATGCCGCCGCAACGGCTTTAAAGCCCATTTAATGCGGGATGGCATAGAACGCCTTAACGGTGTTAAGGGGTTAAGCAGTAAGCATTGCATTCAGTATGTTTATCTCCCACGTTGGAATTAGTGTAACACCCACTGATTTTTGGTCAATGTGACTTAGTGGTGCGATTAACACGATATAGCCATATGGTGTAACCAAATCCCCATATTTGATTGCTAAAATTGTAATTGTATTTTAAACTGTATTTATGTGTTCGCATTATTCCTAAATGTGTATTTTGCATATATTCTGGTCGTTACAAGAGCACCACTGCTAAGAAATGTGTGTACTGGGAGTGCCCCCAATTTCCTATTTTTTTATTTGACCCTTTTTCCTAATATTCTCCTCATTCTATTATTTTATGATGATTCGTATAATCAGTTAAAGATTTCGTATGTTGGTTCTCATGTTCATTGACAACGTCGATTGATATTTGTAATTTTGTAGTGAACCTGGCTTATAGTTTCACGGAAGAGACATTTGTTACACATGTTGAGAAAGCAGATATATTTAAAGCCGCTATGGATTATTGATTGGCTGCTGGATATAGGCTGACTCACCCGGGTCTGTTGGAGACATCATGCATACCTCCCAACATGTGACTTCTGGGAGTCGGGATGGGTGGGCAGAGTTTTGAGGGGGCGTCGTCAGTGACGTGAACTTGAGATGTCCAGAGTAGGCGGGGCTGCTCAGGAAAGGGCGGTGTCATCTGAAAAGGGGCAGGTCTGGCCAGCCCCAGTTATCAAGATCAATGCAGGGAGCACTGCCGAAGCGTTCGCTGCATGATCCTAGTGCCCATTGCACTGCAAAAACGTGTCTCATGATGCGGTAGAACTCCGCTACCCAGGAACAGTTTCCTGGTGTCCCCATATACAGGACGGCGAGACAGCACTAAGTAACTAAAGCGAGATGGCAGGAGAGCACCCTGAAATTGGGACTATCCTGACAAAAGCTAGACAGTTGGGAGGCATGATAATGAGTGTCAGGCTGATGTTGCCAGTCTTACAGCTAATGAAGGGAAGAGAAGGGAAGGGAATATAATTAGAAACACACATGAAGAGCTTATAGTGAAGTGCCCTTAAATTTCCTGTGAGTGCATAATGTGTACATGAGCTGACAGACTCCCCTTCTTTAATGAAAGAATGCCAACATTAGCATAAAATCTGACAAATCACTATTTTATCTAAGACTAAACAGATGATTAATTCTCCCACAATGAAAATTATTTAACCACCTCCTGAAAGTCATCAGTGCTGATACTGCACCTCTCTATCCTGTCTGGTCACATGTCTTACACACACCCCAACTGCGTTACCTGACCCTCATCTTCAATGAAGCAATGGCTCAGGATCCTGTATAGTGCTGTCAAGGAAGTCATAGCCCAACATGCAGTAATAGTGGAAATCAACAAAAAATGGATCCGAAAGACGTATTACTGAGCCTTAGATTGGCCCGATTTAACGTATTAATAGAGTGAGAAACAAGCTCAGGTTAAGACACGGTCAAGAATTCAGAAATTCACAGAGAATATACAAAGCTGAGTCAAGGTACCAGAAATCACAAGTCAAATACAAAGCCAAGGCCATTAAGCGGGCAGCTTCTGAAGATATAACTGTTGCGGCTTGGTGGTGGCGAACGCAGGGTAGCAATTCACCGACACCTAAAGTATAATTTATTTACAGATACCACGTGGCTACATAGAGCGATCAGTCTTTCTGATGGTCACAGAGAAGCATTTGATTTGAGGATTTGGTTGGTTCAGAGTGCATGCACACACTCTGAGCTAGCAAGGGCAGGGGAAAAGTTGTGGAGGGAGGGAAAAAAGGAGGAAGGAGGGAGGTGTAAAAATATATTAGAAGAGGGAATAGGGAGGGCTGCTTTTAGTGTGGGAGGGGAGACAAGAACTTCAGGCTTGCTCCCGTGTTGCAAGTGATGGAACTTTTGTCATATTAGGAATTTACCATGAGACAAAGTATCCCCTACTTTGTCTTATCATATCTTTTGACTGCGTTAGAAGTTCAGTGAAATAGCACAGTCATTATCAGCATTTCATAAAGATTTTATTTGAATGTTCAAAAATATGTTTGGGTAACAGAGCCGAAATAAATGTAAGGTTGTTTTTACTGGGGTGTTCTTTTTAAGAGCAAAGAAAACAAGAAAATCTAAAGAAATGATAAATGATAAAGAAAGGAGCTGAGAAGCAGAGGAAACATCTAAGGCAGTGGTTCCCAACCCAGTCCTCAAGTACCCCCTAATGGATTTAGGAATTACCCAGTTGTGTTTTTAGAAAAAGAGGAAAAAAAAACTCTTTAGACACACCAGGGTAATCCCTAAATCCTGGACTGGTAGGGGGTACTTAAGTAGTAATAAAAATAAAAGAATGAGACAGCACTTGGTTAACTTATAGGCAGCAACCTTAAAAGGGGATCCCTCAAACCCTTTGAAATAAGGTGAATAAAAAACAGTAAAAGGCTGCGCCACAATAAATAATAAAAAATATATGTAAAATAGTCCAATGGAAAGTCCAAAAAAGGGAGAAAATCCCAATATTTAGCCTTACAGATAGTCTTTGGTGGTAAGGTCTTCTACTGATATGGTGGATCCACTTGGTATGAAAGATAAAAAGAGAGAGGGACAACCAATGGTGCAGTATGTAAAATTCAAATGTGAATATAAAAGAATAATAGTATAAAACTCACATTTACCAGAGCTAATATCCAGCTCTGGAGTAAGGCGCCTACAGCGGTTTAAATCCTCGCTTATGGGATATAAATGGGTTCCTCTCCGTCGTTGGTGTCCAATTCTCGGAATAAAAGAGACAACTAATAGTGCTCACTGTATAGTATTGTTGATAAAATAATAAAAGAATGTACTTACAAGGTAAGAGCAGGCCAACTGCTCTATGATGATAGCTTGGGTGGATTGATCCCCACCTAAGGATTTCTTTAAGTACAGGAAACTTCCAGGGATATTATCCAATGATTTTTATAAAACCAATAAAAAATAATACTAAAAAGCCAGGGTAAAAGGAAAAGTTATGTGTCTTTAAAAAAGTTGATTGGCACAAATAAATGACCAAAAATACTTTAATATGATAAAAGAACACAAATATTAAATATCCATAACGCGTTTCGTCAAAAAAAAAGACTTTTTCAAATGGATTGAAATGACCAAAAATACTTTAATATGATAAAAGAACACAAATATTAAATATCCATAACACGTTTCGTCAAAAAAAAAGACTTTTTCAAATGGATTGAAATCCATTTGAAAAAGTCTTTTTTTTGAAGAAACGCGTTATGGATATTTAATATTTGTGTTCTTTTATCATATTAAAGTATTTTTGGTCATTTATTTGTGCCAATCAACTTTTTTAAAGACACATAACTTTTCCTTTTACCCTGGCTTTTTAGTATTATTTTTTATTGGTTTTATAAAAATCATTGGATAATATCCCTGGAAGTTTCCTGTACTTAAAGAAATCCTTAGGTGGGGGTCAATCCACCCAAGCTATCATCATAGAGCAGTTGGCCTGCTCTTACCTTGTAAGTACATTCTTTTATTATTTTATCAACAATACTATACAGTGAGCACTATTAGTTGTCTCTTTTATTCCGAGAATTGGACACCAACGACGGAGAGGAACCCATTTATATCCCATAAGCGGGGATTTAAACCGCTGTAGGTGCCTTACTCCAGAGCTGGATATTAGCTCTGGTAAATGTGAGTTTTATACTATTATTCTTTTATATTCACATTTGAATTTTACATACTGCACCATTGGTTGTCCCTCTCTCTTTTTATCTTTCATACCAAGTGGATCCACCATATCAGTAGAAGACCTTACCACCAAAGACTATCTGTAAGGATAAATATTGGGATTTTCTCCCTTTTTTGGACTTTCCATTGGACTATTTTACATATATTTTTTATTATTTATTGTGGCGCAGCCTTTTACTGTTTTTTATAGGGGGTACTTAAGGACTGGGCTGGGAACACCTCATCTAAGGCAAACATCTATTAATTTACTTACAGTTCCTAGTTTAGTCAAGCAAATATATATATTTCTTAATTGTTTTTTGTTAATCTTTATTTTTGTAGTGCTGCGAGTTACAAACAGGCTCGAGTTGCCACAACAGCAACTACAAGCTAGAGAAACAATACATATTAGACAGTTTCATGGCATTAGATAGCGGCACAATTTTTTAGTAGAGTCAAATTAGGTACAAGATATTGAAACAAGCATCATAGGTATGAAATCAGAATTATTTTAAAAACTTTCTATACATACTGACTATATGAGTGGTCTTAGTAAGAGATACTAACGAATAAGAAAGAGATAAGGTTTCTCGAATTAGCGTACATGATGATATTGAGAGTATTGTGTTCGCTTAAGCACAGGTTTTACACGCTTTTAGAGCCTCAGGTACCACCCCTCGGTTGCGGGTTGGGTAGTGTAGGAGTCGGGCACTGTTTCCCCAAGAAGGGTATAATGTTAGGTGCTTCGTGTGTGGACATGTCCGTCCTGTCTGGTATGTGTTAGCGTCATTTGAGCGCCTCATGTGTGTGCTTGGTAAATGCAGTGTCACAGCGGCTGGCTTAGGGATTGTGTGTAGGCTAGCTGTTCTTATCATTCATAAGTGTACAACGTAAAATTCTAAGAAAGCTATTACAAGTGGAAATGCAGAATAACAAAATTAAAGTTAACGGTGCGCGCTGTGTATTAAGCCTTGTGGAATAATGTATATGCCAGTGGGCATGTTGTAATCGATAGGGCTGACCAGCATATGGGCTATTTCACCAGTTATCTGGGAGCTTGGGATGTAAAGTCCCGGTTCAGCCTATTCCCCGGCTTGGTGGCTGGCTTAGGGGGTAATGCGACAATGAGAGGCAGAGTCCAAGTAAGTCCCCCCGACAGCCCAAGGCCGTCTTGAAGGCCTGCATCCGTGGACCACGAACTTGGTTACTCAGGTGTGAGGCCGAGTTCTTCCCCTGCAAGGGATAGAGGGGGAGGGGCAGTAAGGCATCTGTTGGAGAACTGGGTGAGTGCCAGTCTCGCCCCAGCTCAAGCCCCGGTTGGCCTCAGACCTCGATCGGGTCACTGCGGTGTCTTATGGGGTCATGAGAGGTATCCCCGTGTGCACCTTTGACAGCTTATTAGGTAGGTCACTGCTTTGGGTCAGTGTCGGCTTGTAGTCTGCAGATATCCCCAGATTTCGGACACAAATGCAGGAGCTCAGATGGAACATGTCTGATATGAGATATGAGCAGTAGGCAAGCTCCGCCCCCCAATGAAATATTTTAATGTTATTTCAGTGACATTTAAATTGAGCTGCTTTTTTTTTTTGTTTGCCGAATATTTTATCACTGCTCATACTCCTAGGGTCATAGCAAAATCATTCATAGAATTGTGTGAGTAAAATCATACAAGGACATTTTGCAGGTGTACCTTGTGTGAGTCGTAGTTTTGAATTATTCATATTAGAAAAAACGGAAGAAAATTATTAGATAAAATCTAATAAAATAAAAAGGAGTGGTTCACACCATGTGCCTTTAAGTATGTATTCCTAAAAGTTGGAAAATTTTTGTGCAATAATTAACCTTAAAAATTGTAGTAAAATATTCAACAAGGCATTAATAATAATGTCCAATTTGTTGCTTATACTGGAAAAAAGTAATGTCTGGTCTCCGGATTCCGGCACTCCTTCTGCCCAAGCTCCGATTTCACCAGATGTCGCGAGCTATCACGGCCTTCTATGTCCAGGGGCTAAGCCCCCTTCAGCCACTTCTTAATAACACCATTCATGTTTCCCAATTGCAAACTGGGCACCACGCTCTGCCGCCCGTAGACTGGGCCCCTACTATGTATGTTACATTCAATCCCTCCCAAGCTGCTACCTTGGTGCTTTCTCTCCCAGATCCGGAGAAACAACCCATGCCCTTCTTTTGAAGAATTGCCCAGATCCGTAAGACATATTCTGCCGCTTGGCGAGATCTCTTTAGCCTTTGCGAAATTAAGGCTGGGGATGCCTATTGGCCTATAATGGAAAGAAGCTTTAATGATGCCTGTTTAAGTACTGACCTAGACTTCCAATCAGGCATTATCTTTTGCGAGCAATTACGTGCTTGAGCACAAGACAAACTAGCTGACCAAGCTACCTGTATAAATGACATTGTTCAGGATAAAACTGAATCAGTTGATAAATTTCATTCCAGGTTAACCCAAACCTTTTCAGATTTGGGTTTCAGTATTCATAATAAAGCTCAGATGTTGTCTGCTGCATTTGTCACAGGCCTGAAGGAGGCCATCCGCAAAGGTTTAGTTTTGTCACGCCCTGAGTACAGAATTATCCCCCTAGTTGCAAAAAGCCTTGAGTCTGCTCTTGTACCTACTCCAAGGAGAAGTAACCCCTTGATGTTCTCCTTTTATAATCCTGCTATTAGGCCTGCTCCAGCTCCCGCTGGATACCCTATCACACCTCCACAAGGACAGTCCTTGCCTCAGGCTCCATCCTACACCCCTAGACCGCAAACCAGAGCATGTTTTAACTGTGGCCACCAGCTGGGCCATTTCAGAAGGGATTGTCTGCATCCATGGATACATAGGCAGCAACAGTCACCTGGTAGACCATCTACCCCCGTGACTGGCTATCCTATGATCTGTTACCCACCCGTTACTGCTTATGATTATCCACCTGTCCACCATCCATATCAATCGAGTACCCTAAGGTAGCCCTCCCTGAACCCCCCGCTGACAGCCGTCCTGCTCCTTGTAACTATGTTAACCGCCCTCCTGACGACTGTGTTATGGATAATTATCTACAGGACGACCGCCCAGCAACTGGTCATCCCCTCACTCATCAGTCCACACACTCTGCAGCTCCCACACCTCACTACACTGGCCCTGATCAGGCTCATTTAGATATCTTACAATAGGTAACTGGCAAACCTTTGTCTAACACCCCTGTTATGGCAGTGTCTACAGGGGATAAAGGGGGGCCCTTAGCTACAGTTGTCCTTCCCGTAGAAGGCCATTCTACTACCTTTTTAGTTAACACAGGCGCAGCCCACAGTGTTCTCAGAGAACAAGACCTGCCTGACTCCTCTTTCTTGTCTGACATTGATGTATCTTGTGTAGGCGTTGATGGCACTCCCCGAAATAACCCTCTAACCAAACTCCTTCGTGTGGGCTCAGATATTCTCTCACGTTTTGTGGTTTCCTCTACCTGCCCCATTAACCTGTTAGGTGCTGATGTTCTGTCTCGTTTACAAGCTTATATCTCTTTCACTGCTGACGGCCAGGTTGAGTTATTAACACCTCTCTCTCGTAAGGATACTTCTGCTCTTTGCTCTTTGCCTTTACTCTTACACATGGTAACACCTCCTGAGGAAGTAAGGGTCTTACCTCCCCCTAGTGCCCTGGACAGGGTCCCAGCCAAACTCTGGTCTACCGGCCCCGATGACTTTGGCCACCTGAATGTTCCACCTGTGGGTGTTAAACTTATACAGAGGGCAAACCCCCCCCGAGTCCTCAGTACCCCTTGAAACCTGCACAAGCCCTTGCCATCTCCAAACAAGTCGCTAGCCTGTTGGAAAAGGGCGCACTTGTCAAATGTGTGTCTATCTGCAATACCCCTCTGTTTCCTGTGAAGAAGAAAACTGAAAAGGGACAACCTGACCAGTATCGCATGGTCCAAGACCTCCGTGCTGCCAATTATGTGACTTACAGGGATACTGCCATTGTCCCTAATCCACATACACTGCTCTCTCAAGTACCTCCAACTGCAAAGTCATGGTCATTGATCTCACAAATGCCTTCTTCAGTGTGCCTTTGGATCCGTCCTGCCAATACCTGTTTGCTTTCACACATGACAAGGGGCACAAAATTCACCAACTCAGTTCGCCAAAGCAATGTCCTTGAGCCATGGCAAAAATCCCATCCAGACGTAGTACTCCTCCAATTACATTGCACAATGTGGTTCAGAAACACCCCAGGACCTGATCCACATTATGAAGAGGAACTACTCAACCTGGTAGAAATACATATTATCCTGACAGATCTGCTCTGTGACTCCAAGGGAAACATTGTCATCTTAGTCTACTTGCCCATGGAGGTATCCCATTTATACCACCATTGGGAGGTGGCTGTTCCTTATTTTTTCTTTACCAAATCTCCAGATCTCTCATTGAAAGAGCTTGGTCCAATGGCTAAAACATGGAGTACTGCAAGTCAAGAACAACTCACATTGGAGGGGGTCACTAAAAGAACTGTAAATTGCAAAACAGTTAGTTACCCTCGA